ATTAATTATTATACATTAATTTATGTACATGCTAAAGCCACGCTAAATTTCTTGCCTGCTTCTTGCCATTATTTCAATTTATGACAATTTCGATGTTTATACAATACATACCCATGCACTTAATAAAGAATTCGTTAAACACATAACGAAAAGATAGAAAATAAAATGCGTGTTTCTTCTCATCATGTCGAAAATTATTACAGTCATTCGACACTATGTCTCTTTTGCTTCTATTTTATTCAAAAAAAATATAATAATTATAATTATAGTATCTCTCTTAGTCCGATTCCTCCCCTTCGACCTGTCCGGCATGGGTGATCCTACCGGTAACTTGATTAACATTATTAACGTTTTTGAGTGAAGCAGGTTTGATCATTTTGAGAGCGCTTAAATCCAATTTGCCATGAATATATGTTCGATCAAAAATAGATTTTGTGAGGGAATCTAATTAATGTAAATATATATATAATATGTAAATATATTTATGTAAAAAATTTTTCTTTTAATTTTTCTTTAATACATAGGTTTCTTATAATAAATAAGTTTTACAAATTTGTTAAATAAAAAATATAAAACACAAAGAATTATATAAGATGTATATAATATACAATATAATTACAAATTATATAATGTATTGTATAATTACAAAATATATCATAAAAAGTTTACAGATATATTGTACAAAGTATATTACAAAGTATATTACAAATATATATTATAAATACAAATATAATACAAAATTCTGATATAGTTGATAAGCAACGATTAATGCGATATTTATGATTAATAATCAACATACAATTACAAAGCTTATTAAATTTTATAATGCAAACAATTATGATCAAAAGAATAGTTAATAAATTTATCGATCGTTTTTCAATTGACTACTAACGCATTTTGTGTAGATTTTCAAAGAAGATATCCGAAAAAAGGTAGACGAAGCTTTGATTTAAATCAACGATTAAATCACAAAATAGATAGCGGTTTAAAATTTGCGAAAAAAACGCGACGAATAAATGAATCAACGATAGCTGTAATATGCGATTCTGAAATATGTAATTTTTCGAACAATCAAAGGAACGATGTAATTACTATATATTTGAATGAAAATGTTTCGACAAACATTTGGAGCGCTTTTTATAATCGCGTCTGCAATATAGGACACTTGTGAATATAAAACTTAATGCCCGATTTATTTTCAAATATGTGATTTTATCGCAAGTCTCGCGATTGAGAATAAGATATGTACCGTTTCGCGAAGGATTGACTAAACAATAAAACCTTATAAATCTTAAGACACCGTTATAAAAAAAAAAACTGCGTTATCGCCGCGTTCAGTGGAGGATAACTGGCTCAACAATTTGACCGGATCAAGGTCCCTCCGCCAGATAACACGCCGGTTAATATCCGACAAAGACAAGAACAATCCTAAAGATGGAGAACGTTAAACTTCTTACTTCTACGTCGGATCCTGCAAGATCAATTCGCAAAGAAAAGTTAAGTGATCCGTTGAATATTAGGGACCCCGCTGTAGGAGGGAACGAATCGCGGATCTTCCGGACTACTCCCAATAGCAATAATTTCGATAACGAATCAACGACAGTTACCATTGTTCATCTTCAATTCACGAGATTGAGATTCACGCGAGGAAATGTGTTCTTCCATTATTAAGAAATATATCTCTTTATTGAAAAATGAATGGATATAGCAATTTTTATGGAAATGTGGTTACAAACGACTATATTTGTGGATAATAAAATACATGCATCTTTATTGTAGCTTGTGTTAAATGTGCGAGTACAAATAATTCTTGGGTACCAGTTGTTCGAGACAAATCAAACCCAATAACAGCAAAATTAAAAAAAATTATTTTGAATACTTTTCAACATAAAATAAATCAAAATAATATCAAGCATAATTAATTTTAAGTTGTAATTAATCTTTTTTTAAATACATTAATTTGCCCATATTTCACTGATATCGGGGTACCCATTCGATTTGTCTCGAAGTTTAAAAATATACGCACATTTTATGTTACATTCATATATAATATTTTTTAACATAATATTCAAAAAAAGTTGTAACCATAATTTTTGTATCAAAAATGTCAACAGGCAAACTGATTACAATTTGAAATTACTTGAAAAATAGAAATTTATACATAATAGCTATATCCATGTTCAATCTACTATTAAGTTGTTTTAGCATTAAGATAATAATAATACTAATAGAGTAATAATGATAGAAGAACACTTTTTACAAAGAGGAAGAAAAATATATATCTTCCCTTTAAATATACTATTTAAATTAGTTTCTTGATTCGACTTCGAAAAGGCGTGTGGCAGTCGTCGTTGAATTACTACCGAAACCATTGCTTTCAGAAATCGCCAGGAAAACCTGGGTTTAATTCCAATCCTGCAACGAACATTCTCAATTTTCAACAGAACACCGAAGTAGACGTCGCGGATGGATCTTACACGAACCGACAAGAAATAATTCTCCACGATGAAAATTGTTTCGACTCCTCGCCGGTACGAACCACGCAACACTAACGTTCACCTGACGAGAGGGACAGCGATAAGGCCCCTTAGCTAAGACAGCAATCGCGTCCAAGAACGTGGAAAGAACGCGGTGTTTTCGCGTAGTTCATTAATTTATTTGACGAATATTTAATTGCAATACGAAATTTGTAAATATCCATTAAATCAAAATCAAATCATGAAATCCGGAATAATTTACTCGCGATTCTGCAATATCGAAGACAGTCATCAAATTTCGTGAACGGAAAGCTAATATTTAATCGTTGGTTTAACATTGAGTCTTCACATTCTTATTCAATAATCTTTTTATTAAACGATTAGAAGACTTACCGATATTCATAATATTTATAAAATTTGAAATAAAATTTCCCAAATTTATCAACGATTCTTTGATATGAAAACACAAACTCTTAAATTTATAAATATTTTTAAAATAAATAATATAGAAAAACTAATATTTAACAAATATATTAATTTAGAATTTCTATTATATGTATAAGTTTTAATCTATAAAATAAAATGTAACACATGTGTATTAAATTTTATGTTATACACAATAAATATAAATGCAATTTTTGATTTATTAAAAAAAATGTAGCATGTGTATACATTTTTAAAATTTGTTATAATTAATTTTAATTTTTAATTAAAATTGTAGAAAAATTCATAATTTTTACTTTTAATTTTTTAATTTTAATTGGTCCTAATAGTCCTAACCCCTACTTTGCTGGTTAAGCCAGCGGGAATCCGCGATTATCAAAATTAGGGGGAGAAATTTGTCCTAATCGCGTGCCCTACTCGCGTGCCCTATTCGCGTTTTCTACTCGCGTGCCCTACTTGCATGTCTTACTCGCATGCCCTAATATATTGCTTCCGTTGGGCCAGTTGGACCTACCTTTCGTTGATCCTGGCCATATTCATTCTGGCTATATCTAGCCAGAGATGTAGCTTTGACCTCTGTCAGAGGGCAATAAAGGAGAGAAATTCCTTCCGTTGCTGGCAATTATTATCGCCGGTGCATGAGCGTAACTTTACGCTCGTTGACGTGCAATATCGAAGACAGTCATCAAATTTCGTGAACGGAAAGCTAATATTTAATCGTTGGTTTAACATTGAGTCTTCACATTCTTATTCAATAATCTTTTTATTAAACGATTAGAAGACTTACCGATATTCATAATATTTATAAAATTTGAAATAAAATTTCCCAAATTTGTTAAGCCAGCGGGAATCCGCGATTATCAAAATTTGGGGGAGAAATTTGTCCTAATCGCGTGCCCTACTCGCGTGCCCTATTCGCGTTTTCTACTCGCGTGCCCTACTTGCATGTCTTACTCGCATGCCCTAATATATTGCTTCCGTTGGGCCAGTTGGACCTACCTTTCGTTGATCCTGGCCATATTCATTCTGGCTATATCTAGCCAGAGATGTAGCTTTGACCTCTGTCAGAGGGCAATAAAGGAGAGAAATTCCTTCCGTTGCTGGCAATTATTATCGCCGGTGCATGAGCGTAACTTTACGCTCGTTGACGGTCGTAATACGTTAGGACCGTTTGTTGTATGTTGTTTTAATATAACTTTGCTTTAACTGATATAAAATGTCAAATCATTAATTAAAAATAGTGATTAATTAAAATTTTTGTAATATATAATATTACTCTTATAATACAATTTATATAATAAAATAGAATTAAGTATACATTTACTTTTATATATTTTTCACTATATTTTTACTTTATATTATTATTATTCGCTTATTTCTTTAAATATTATACATGATTTGATCGATCGATTACTTAAATTTATATCAGTCAAAACAAAGTTTTCTGATATGCTACACTACATATAGATGGATGGACTACAAAATATTAAAATAAAATCAACGTGCGTTATAAGAATATAATTGATTATACAGAATGATAAAGAATGAATTGATAATGAATTGAAAGTTTTTATATATTTCTTTATTAATGTTTTAGTTTGCTTTTGTAATGTGCTTTAATGCAAATTTCTATTAAAAAATGTC